GTCTAATGTGCAGTCAGCAGCTTTTGAAACAACCAGCACTGAGCATTCATGCTACAGTAAAATGACCAGTTTTAAAATGTTTATATTTTTAACAAATCTAAGTAATATTTTGCAGCATTAACTTCCTGTCTTACAAGATATGACAGTGTTGCAGTTTCTGGTAAATTTCACCATTTCTATTATCACCATTGTCCCATCATCATCTGATAACTTTTTTTTTTAAATTTGAACATGCAGACAGTCTGAAGAGGAAAGCCCAGCTTATAAGATGAAGTTGATATCCGCCGTTGCATGTTATCTCCAACGAGGGTTTTAGACTTTGCTGAGCCAGCTAACATTGTGTTGAGCTAACCTTTATGTACCCGTCTACAACCTAGACCAGAGTTGCTGCAACAGATTTACTATTATTTCTCAATTTGTGTGAGTAGCAAGCTCTTATTAGTGCATCAGTTTGATATTTTGGGAAATGACACAAAGTCTGGCCATTAAACTGTCCTACATACAAAAAAGTGTTAAATCTTATTTTTACACTTTACATCAGATGAGACAACACGATTTGTTGGTGAGCATTAGCAGTGTGCCTTTAGCTTCACTTTTACAGTACAGAAGTATTATCAACTTAGTGGTATTTTTTTAGTTACCTAATTCTGAAAATGCTGTCAGTTTTCCTTTTAGGCAGCAAGTTTTTATTTTTATTATTTGTCTACCAGATGTTCACTCTCGCCAACTTGAGGCAGACTATTCAGTAACTTCTCACTGACTAGTCACTTACTTTGTGTGTCACATAGCAGCATGTCTGTTGTGCCTAAAACGGTTCGGAAAATGCGATGAGCACTTCAGTTGTGGCACATCATGTGACAGCAGCTGCTTAGTGCAGCTTAAGATGCACTTTGCACTGAAGCGTTGTGGTTTTGTGCTTTTTTTTGAAATAGGAAAATACAAATTCGCAGAACTGTCAGCCGTAGTGCTCAAGGTGCCTTCTGAAATCAAAGTATGTTTGCAGGTGAAACTTAAATGGCAGTTGGACATCTAATTATGACTTAAGAGCTCGTCTTTTTATTAATATCTTTGGCTCAATGCACATGTAAACATTTCGATGTCAATTGCAGACTAATGTTGGGCTTTTACAGAGTTGGCCAATGTGATTATGCATTTAAAATAAGGAGTGGACTTGTCCACTTAGTACAATGGGTAAAATTAAAGTATGACTTTAAAACACAAATCCAACAACGAGAATTTTTTTTTTTTTTTTTTTTTTTAAAGCTGCAGCTGCTGGTCGTATGTAGTCGAGGTAGTATTGCATTCATAAAGGGAATAGCATCCTTCTCACCTTCCTGTTGCTCGCCACAAATTTGTGATGTTGTTCGGTGAGTTTCAGACACATTCCCATGCACACCACTGTTTCACTACTTTTAACCATTTGGATCCTTCCACATTCTGTCACCACAGGGATAGAATGTGGAAAGGCTTTTTTTTCTTTTTCTTTTTTAATTTCCTCACCTGTTTTAATTTGTTGCCTCGATCAAAAATTGAACCCTCTTTCCTGCAGTGGTCTCATCCATCACTTCATTTCCAACCTGTGAAGTTTCCACTCCCGCTGCATTTCTCACATTTTTAATTTGGCATTTCTTTCCACACATCCTTGGTAGGAGAACGGGTCAGTGTGTGTGTGTGTGTGTGTGTGTGTTTGGATTAAGATTGAGTTACATAGCTGGATTGTGTAATTGTGAGGTGTGTCTCTTCTGCAGGGAGCAGCTCTGCTGTTTCCATTGTTGGGAGAGTTGAACTTGGAACTGACGGCACTGCGGTGTTGTCGTGCAGTGCTGCGTTTCACAGGAGAGTGGAGACTGTGCGAGGTTGTGCTGCTGACTCAACAATAAGAGCACACTGTGCAGCATGTACAGGTTTACCCTAAATAAGGGATTAGTCAGTTGTTGGGTGCGTTTTGATCTGGGCTGTGTTTGGTTTCAGTTACAATCATTTAAAGCCTTGCCTGTTCTTGTTGTGACATGTCAGATAGGACTTACTCAGTCGTAGTATATGAACGTAGTGTATAACGTTGCTTTTCTTACAAATCAAGGTTTTCTGGCTTGTACAGGGCAAAGTTACTTACGATGTGATTCTGTGGTAAATGTATAGATCCTTATTTCTATTTTTTGCCAAAAAAAGCTAACAACCTTTTCGTTGGGGCTTCAAACCTTAACCTTAAAGCTTACGTGCTGGAGACGGCTCAGTAGCTAAGGATGCGTTAGATAAGTTGATTAATCAGATAGTTAATGCAAGAAATGCCACTCACGTATTTCAACAAAGCTGATTAGATGTGCACGTAGTCTGAGATGTTCTGAACAACAAAAAAGTGATGCGACTCACTTCCAGCAATTACTTCTCTGATAATGTAAATTGATTTCAGTTCAATTGAATAGGAAAATAGTTGCTGTGCACTCAAACTTATTTTCTGCAGCACGACACTGAAGCATCAGAGGACTGAAAGGGGAGGTGACCTGTTTATCCACAGCTTGCGTGGGGGCAAATCTTGCATACTGCTTTATCTTTGTTGGCTGGGTCAACTTTATTATCGCAGCTTAGCCCTGTTTGGGAACAGCGTTATCTTTCTAGGATTATAAAATAAGTGTGTGTTCGGAAACTGCCCTCTGAGTGCATGCTTTGTAGTGCATTGTAATAAGTCATGTCAACATGTCTGCATTAGTTTAACAGGAAGAAGAGCCTCTGTATTTTTGATAATATTGGAATGTCACATGTAAGGATAATCTATTTAGATGCTGCTTTCAGTACATAGATTTGATGAAGGTTAGTGGCGTTAATAAAGTGCTCATTTGTATTGGTGCAAAGTCAGTTTGAACTTGCTGCCCTACCTTTTCACTGTGAAAGAATATAACGGCAAAAAGCAGGATGTTTTCTTTTCTTTAAACGCTCAGTAGGGGTGTTTAGTTTATTTAGGTGATTTTAATGAATTATTTATTGATACCTTACAATTTTCATTCCATATTAGGTATCACATTTTGTTTGGCCACTAGATACAAAAAGCTTTTCTGGTGATTTAACCCCAACCTGGGGGGGGGGGGGAGGAATCCAGTGCTTTTACCGCTATAGTGCTGTATATCTCTGTACAAGGGTGTCTAGAAATGGTTTGTTCGCACTGGTGTTTGACTCTGTTAAGACAGCGCAAATGCATAGATGTTCTGACTGTAATTTGAGCTTGACCTTTGATGGACGGCAACACCGGGATAAGCTACAAGGGACAAAAGCCACAGCTATTTTGCATTATAAACATATTTGTCACTGTTTTTCCAGTCTGATTTATAGCCATAGTAAAATGCCCCTGTACATCTATAATTGTCCTTTGTGCAGAGCAGATCAAAGTAAAGTAGTTTGGCCATAATGCACAGAACCACATATGGATAAAAACCAAACATGTATTTGCTCAAACGTGGTGGTGGTGGAGTTGTGTTGATTTATTTTATTTTTTTTAGATGTGGACACCTTGCAGTTCCCGAGTTGACCACGTACTCATCAGTATACCAAAGTATTCTAGAGTCAAATGTGAGGTCATATGACAGCCAGCACTGAGTGATGCAACAGCACAATGATCCCAAGCACAGCCGGTTACTTTTGTTGGAAAAGGAAAAAAGAATCGAGGTGTCGCAATGGTTCAGTCAAAGTCCAGACCTCAACCTGACCGGGAATTAAAGAGAGCGGAAATGACTGCCTGCAAGCTGCAATGAACTGAAACAACCATGTAAAGAAATTAATACACTGTGATGTGAGAGACTAATAAAGTAAAATGGCAAATCATGACTTTAAGTTATAAGGTCTACTTAGTATTTACCTCATCTTTAGACCTGGTAAATACTTGGTTATTTTGTCATCCAAATATTGCTTTACTTCCTTCTTACCTTAATCTTGTCAAACTATATTATTTTAAATGTTTATTCTCTAAATGCTAAAAATTTTAAGTTAAATATTTGCTGTCTATGTTGGATATCATTTCGCTATAACCAGTTTCTGTAGTTTGTTAATAAATGCTTATCACTGATTTTGAACTGTTATGCATAATTTAATGTTTGCTCAAACTTACTACTTTTTCTCCAGAATGTAGATGTGCATCCAGAGAAGTCCCCAGGCTTTCAGACGTCTGGATAACTCCAGTCCTCACCTGCACAGCTAATGGCATGCCGATCTCCAAACCTCCCAATGTGGCGAGTGTCAGTGGTGCCCTAATCCTCCTCCTTCTACTCTGCGTCTGCAACACCACCCTACTCTTTCTACTCATCAACGTTTTTCTCATCCCACACCCCGCTCACGCCTCAGGATGGGTAACATAACCGGTACCTGCCATGACAATGAGACCATCGACTTTTTCTACAACAACAGTGGAAAAGCCATTAATACTCAATGGAAAAAGCGTGACGTTCTTATTGTCACGCTGGGCTTGATTGTTTGCTTCATTGTTATTTTTTCCAACTTTTTGGTAGTAGCGGCCATTTTCAAAAACAGACGGTTTCACTTTCCCATCTACTACTTGTTGGGTAATATGGCTTTGGCAGACCTTTTTGCAGGTAAATTTTTTTCCATTTATTTTTGTAAAACCATTTGTGAAATAACTTAAGTTCACAGAAAACCCTTCACAAAGAGAAAGTAGAGCAAAATAGAAACACATTCTCACAGTTGTTTCCATTGAAAAGCAACAGTGATCTCTTAAACGCAAACCATGAATGCCAAGTTGGGGATTCTTGGACAGTCAGGCAACCTTTTGAGTGTGATTTAATAGTACTCCTGACTATTTCAACTAAGTTTGTACTGATCACAGCGATAGCATGTTACCGTGATGAGTCTCGGACATCCTCATATTTCATGTAAAGATTGTTCATTGTCCTGCTCTGGTAACAACGATAGACTCTACTCAGAATGTAACAGTGCAAATGGTTTACCTCTGTTTAAAAGATCTCCTCACTTTCCTCCTCCTAGGTTTTGCGTATCTCCACATGATGTTTCATACTGGTCCCTGGACTATAAAGCTATCACCGAACCAGTGGTTTACTCGTCAGGGGTTGATAAATACCAGCCTGACAGCCTCGGTCCTCAACCTCCTATTCGTGGCTGTGGAGCGCCACCAGACTATCTTCAACGTCCAGCTACACAGCAGCATGAGCACTCGGCGTGTTTTCATAGTCATGCTGTTAATTTGGCTGGTGGCAATAATCATGGGCCTCGTTCCCCAAATGGGTTGGAACTGCACGTGCCATCTAAGTGAATGCTCCACCATGGCACCGCTATACCACCGCAGCTTCCTGATATTCTGGGCCGTTCTTAACTTGATGACCTTCTCCATCATGGTGGCCGTATATACCCGGATCTTTCTCTATGTGAGGCACAAGGGCAGGCAGATGTCACAGCACACTTCGATGACAAGACAGAGAGAAACCATGATGAACCTGATGAAGACAGTCTCCATGATCCTGGGTAAGGGAGTGCACACAATACATATCAAGTCAAATAGTTATGTTTGGGAGATAACTTTGCGTTTTTAGCTTCATTTAAAAACATCACGCTAACAGAAAAGCTTTTGAAGAACCCAAAATGATGATAAAGCGTGTGCCGACCTCAGCACGGCAGCCAGGCTGGTTCCTTTTACCTGTTCACTGCTTTTGAACAGGTAAAAAAAGCAGCGATGAGCAGTCGGGCTGCATCCTCCATTTCTACCTGTTCATGTTTCTACAGTAGAATCACCATAGAGATCACTTTAAAATATCTTTGAACTGGTTTTCAGATTTTCTTTGTGTTGCTTATTTTGTGAAAACACTAAAAGAAAGCTCTTACATGTGTGCTCATTAGGACAGGGATTTGTGTCAGTGCATTGCACTGTAGCCTAAGGTTTGTATTGTTAACTGGTAATTATGAGAATGCATTATGGACTAACATGAAAATAATAATAACAAGTTTTAGACTGCTCTCTGGCAAGTAATTACCGTAATATATATTGTAGAGTGTCTACCTTACAATATGAAATGAAACGCCTTGAAGGTGACTGTGATTTGGTGCTATATAAATACATTGAATTACTTTTGAGAAAATAATGGTGTGTGTGTGTGTGTGTGTGTGTGTGTGTGTGTGTGTGTGTGTGTGTGTGTGTGTGTGTGTGTGTG